TTTTTTTTTTTCAAATTTTAATGTTTGGAATAATGTTTTTTTGAAAAAAATGTGTGGTTTAAAAAAAATGAATTTTTTTCGATTTACATGTAATATTATTTTTTAGAAGATTGTGTGGTTGAAAATATGAGAGATGACAAAACAATGAAAGAGAATGGGGACCAAATGGGGGCTATATAAATACTTATATAGATCAATAAGAATGATCTCCTAAACACCAATGCTTAGTTTATGTTAAGCACGGGTAACATAGTACATCATTTAATTAGTGATCATTAAATACATGAGACTTACCATTAACTTATTCACCAATTAAATGACATGTCATGCTTAACATAAACTAAACTCATGTGTTTAGGAAATCATTTCTGTATAAATCAATTCATAAGAATAAATCCCAAGCCATTACCAGTAAGAAGTTAAACATAGATCGGAACAACTTGAATATGAACGGTTTGTGTGGCTAGCCCAACTTGACCCGATTTGTCTAAGCGAGCCACAATAGCGACCCTAGTTGAAAACCCTAGAGTAAATCTTGGCTCATTCAGTGCGAATTCAACTGTACAAATATGACTGGATTTGAACCATTAGCCCATATAAATAACCCAACCCAAATGAATGCTATAACCCGGCCCAAACGATAAATATATTAGGATAGGCTTTTATTTTTGTGAATCGTATTATATCTATTAATGCTAATTCATTTTTATGTTACAGAATCGAACGGCGTCTTCAAATGCTCAAGGAGTTATCTGGTTTTAAATATGATTTTTTTACTTGCAATCACTTTAACATCAATTTAGAGATTTCAGATAATACAAGTTCTTATCAATGTCATAATACAATTAATTTAAATACTTTACAGTTAATATATTTTTTTTTCCCTTAATGTATTGAGCATAATTAACGAATTTACAATTATTTATTTTGGTAGCTGTTAAATTAATACAAAATTCTTACAAAAAAAGAGGGGGAAAAAAAAAACCTTCCAAAATGTGTGTTTAAAATCGGACGCCCATGATTGGTTTGGCTCACGAATTGGACCTTGGACTGATCCAGAAAGCTTCAGATATTGATTACAATTGGACTGACAAGTTACAAGGAATTTCACTTTCAACAATAAAAATATTTATCTTAGAAAGAATTTGTAGGATATTTGTCGAATAAGGGTCGTTGAGAGAGTCTTCAAAACAAGTTTTCCGTATCTGTAACTGCAAGACATCGCTTAACTCGGATAATCATCGAACTAAATCAAGCGATTCGATTCTACAAAAAAAAAATTAATGGTCAGAACCAAGAACCGAACTCAATTTTTATTGATCACACACAAACACACAAAAAAAAAAAAAAAGTTCAAATTTTGTCGGTGATTCATTTGTTTATACTTGTGAATCATTGTTATTAGACAATATTTTGTATGTGGATATAAATTGATATTTGTGTATTCAAATTTTTATTATGTTTTGTTTGTTAGTTTGGACTTTTGTGAATGAATTTTATTAAACTATATTTCATTTGATGATTTATAATTTTAAGTTGAATTTGCTGAATGTTTGATGTTTATTTATTTATCTCTTTGATTTAAGCATATATTACTAATTTATGGATATAGTGATAGAATTTACATTTATATTTGAAAATTTAAGTAATGAAATCAAATTCAAACCAAATTAAACTAAACCAGAACTGAATGGATCGGTTTTGATTTGGTTTCATTATAAAAAAAAAAAAATCATTGGTTCACGGCTCAATTTGATTCTCTTAGAACCAGATAGAATCATGTCTACCCCTATACATCACACTTAATTTATAACATAATGTCGAACGAGGTTCACAATAATTGTATAAGAGGGTTTATAATGTCAAAGCAATTTTTGTTTATTCACGACTTTTTGATTGCACTAATATTTTAACTTTTTGCTTATTGTCGTACCAAGGGTTCACGTATTGCCATTTTTTTTNATGTCTACTTAATGATATATTGTGTTTCGAAATTGCTTAAGACTGCAGCTTGCAATTCTTGATACATAATTACTGTCATTGTGATCATTCATTGATATTGATATAAATCTTGATCAAAAATCATACTTGTCTTCTTCAATTATTGTATCTTGATAAGTGCTTTAAATTGGAAAATTTTAAAAAACCTTTTCTGTTAATAGTTTGATCTTCACATAAGATCACACTATGTCCATGAGTGCTGCCCACCCTTTTATAGAATCCGCAATGGGTTCGAAGGTCGAATTGAGTCAATTCGATGGAAAGGAGGACTAATCTATATGGAAACAGAAAATGAGGGCCATTTTGGTCCAGCAAAGGGTTGCAAAAGCCCTTGATGATCCAGAAAAATTTCTTGACGAACTTAAAGCAAAACCTAGTGAAATTGAAGAGAGGAACGAAATTGCATATAGTTCAATAATCTTGCATTTATTTGATAACATCGTTAGTCAAGTTGATGAGTCTAAAACTGCCAGATATTTATGGACTGCTCTTGACAATATGTTTCTGACTAAAACTCTACCAAATAAAATCTATCTTTTGGAAAAGCTATTTAGTTTCAGAATGGACCCAAGAAAGGGCTTAGAACAGAACCTAAGTGACTTTAGTATTATTGTTAAGAGTTTGGCACTCAATGAAAAAAAGTTTGATGATGAAGACGTTGCTACGATTTTATTGAATGTATTACCCGAATCACATAAAGATATTAGGAATGCTATTAAGTACTCTAAGGATAAGTTGACCCAAGCCATAGTGACAGATGCCTTGAGAGCTAGAGAACTAGAGGTAAGAAAGGAGTCTAGGTCTAACCCTAGATATGAGAGTATTGTTGACCTAATGGTTGACTTCTTATTTTGATTATCACAAACAAATTGCGTTTGATNGGATGGGGTGTTCAACGGTCGGATTTTTTACCGTTTAGCAAACGGCTAGTTATCCATCCGGATACCAAGCGAACGTCCAAATCATTTGTCCGGATCTCCCGTTTAATGGCTATAAATACCTCTCTTTATACCTCTTTTAAGGCAAGAATTCTAGAGCATTAAAGAGAGTTATTTATTGATCTTATTTACCTTGTTTTTCAATATTTAAGAGATCAAATTATTTATTCGTTGAAAAAATTCTTGAGTGAGTAACTTTTTGAAAAATCATATATATTAAAAAAAATGTTTTTCACACAACACTTGAGCTATTCTTTGTGATTTATTGAAGTGTTGTGCCTAATTCTCTCTTAATATTTCATTGTGTTCATATCATTTGTTAAGAGAGAAGCTTTTCAATTGTAATTTTGATTTTCTTGTTCATTAAATTGTGGGTCGTGTTGAGGTCCCGGAAAGCTCAACGTGTAAAATGATCGATGATCCTTAGTTGTAAGTCACTAGAAGCGTTGTAAGGGTTGGATTGCACCATAAGTCAATCAAAGTTAGTGAAAAAGGTCTTGCTCGTGACGGAGAGCTTGGTAACGGGGGACATAGATCGTGATTGGATTGAACCTCCTTATTACATCGTTTGCACTCTCTTTTCCTTCCTCTTATTAATTTTTGTGTTATCTTATTTATTCATAGTTATTTGCTTAACTTTGCGTTTATTTTCGAAAAAGTTTCAAATAACCAATTCACCCCCCTCTTGGTTAGTTATTCTTGGGCTTTCAATTAGTATCAGAGGCAGATTCTCTTTTTTTTTTTCT